TGAAAGAAGTAAAGACTGGGGAGTTGCTTCATCCCGGTGTGAAGAGCATGTTGATTGAGTTGTTGAAAGAATATGTTAATATATTTGCTTGGTCTTATCAAGACATGCCTAGGTTAGATATCTATATTATGGAGCATCGCTTGCCTTTAAAGCCTGAATGTCCGCCCATCAAACAAAAATTGAGAAGGACTCACCCTAACATGGCAGTTAAGATTAAAGAGGATGTCTTGAAGCAAGTTGATGTTAGGTTCCTTGTTACGTCATTGTACCCTCACTGGATTTCCAATATTGTTCTTGTTCCAAAGAAAGATATAAAAGTTTGTATGTGCATCGATTACAAAGGCCTGAATAAAGCTAGTCTAAAAGATGATTTCCCTCTTCCACATATTGATATGTTGGTAGATAGCACAGGAAAATTCAAAGTTCTCTTTCATGGGCGGATTTTTCGGATAATCAAATTAAAATGGCTCCCGAGGACATGGAAAAATAATGTTTATGACACCCTTGGGAACATTCTGTTACAGAGTGATTCCCTTCGGGTTGAACAACGCTAGTGCAACGTACTAGAGGGTTATGTCAACCCTATTCCGTGATCTGATGCATAAAGAGATCGAGGTATATGTTGATGATATGATCACCAAATCTTAGACAGAGGAAGGTCATTTGGAAGACCTGTTGAAATTGTTTCAGCGTTTGAGGAAGTATCGTCTCTGCTTGAATTCAAATAGGTATACTTTTGGTGTTTGTTCCAGAAAATTATTGGGCTTCATTGTTAGCCAAAAAGGTATTGAGGTTGATCCCGATAAAGTTAAGGCAATTCAAGATATACTTGCACCAAGAACTAGAAAGCAAGTCAGGGGCTCCCTTGGACGTCTGAACTATATCTCCATATTTATTTCCCATATGATTGCCACTTGTGAGCCAATCTTCAAACTTCTAAAGAAAGATCAAGATTGTGTATGGATGGATGGTTGTTAGAAGGCTTTTGAATGCATTGAAGAGTATATGCTTGAACCTCCTATCTTGCTCCCTCTTATTGAAGAAAGATCATTGATTATGTATCTGACTATGTTGGACAATTGCATGGACTGTATTTTGAGACGACAAGATGAAACAGGAAGAAAAGAGTATTCCATCTATTATTTGAGTAAGTAGTTAACTGACTGTGAGTCACAGTATTCCTTTCTGGAAAAGACATGTTGTGCTTTGGCCAGGGTTGCGAAGTATCTGCGGCAGTATATGTTGAATCATACTACTTAGTCGATATCCAAAATTGATCCAATAAAGTATATATTTGAAAAGCCTTCTCTTACCAGAAGAATTTCCCGTTGGCAGATGTTGGTTTCTGAATATGATATTGAATACCGTACTCAGAAAGCCATTAAATGTAGTGTGTTAGTAGAGTACCTTGCTCATCATCCGGTTGACAATTATCAGTAAGTCAAGTTTGATTTCCCATATGAGGATGTCATGTACTTAAAAGTTAAATATTGTGATGAACCTTTTCCTAAAGAAGGTCCTGATCTTGAATCTCGATGTGGTATGGTGTTTGATGGAGCTTTGAATGCTTACGATAAAGGAATTGGTGTTGTGATTATCACTCCCCATGGATCCACATCCCTTTCACTGCAAGGTTAACATTTGATTGTACCAATAACATGGCAGAGTATGAAGCGTGTATTATGGGTCTCGAAGAGGCTATGGATCTCAGAATCAAGATTCTGGATGTATATGGTGATTCAACTTTAGTGATAAATCAGATTAAAGGTGAATGGGAGACTCATCACCCTGGCATGATTCCCTATAAAGATTATGCAAGAAGGTTGTTACCTTTCTTCAATAAAGTTGAATTCTATCATATTCCTCGAGACGAGAATCAGATGGCAGATGCTTTAGCCACTTTGTCTTCCATGTACAAGGTGAACTCTTGGAATGACGTACCTCAAATTATGATCAGACGCCTTGACATGCAAGCTCATGTTTTTGACACAGAGGTGACATTAGATGATAAACCTTGGTATTATAATATCAAACACTTCCTCCAGACTCAAGAGTAGCCACTTAGGGCATCAAACAAAGACAAGAAGACATTGAGAAGGTTGGTAGATAGCTTCTTCCTCAATGAAGATGTCTTATATAAAAAGGAATTACGACATGGTCTTGATGCGTGGATAGACACGAAAATGACATGTTGATGCATGAGATTCATTAAGGTTTATTTGGTACTCATGCCAACAAACATTATAGGACAAAGAAGATGCTTAGAGAAAGTTACTATTGGCTAACAATGGAATTTGTCTATTACAAATTCGCGAAGAAGTGCCATAAGTATCAGAATTATGATGACAAGATTCATGTGCTTCCAACTCTTCTCAATGTTATTTCTTCCCCATGGCCTTTCTCTATGTGGGGTATTGATATGATCAGAATGATTGAATCCAAGGATTCAAATGGACATCATTTCAATTTTGGTGGCTATTGATTACTTCACCAAGTGGGTGGAAGCAACTTCTTATGCTAATGTCACCAAGCAGATGGTATTACGGTTTATCAAGAATGATCTTATCTATCGGTATGGCGTGCCAAACAGGATTATCACTGATAACGACTCAAATTTGAATAATAAGATGATGACGGAACTTTATGAAGAAGTCAAGATTGTTCATCAAAACTCTTCTCCTTACATGCCTAAGATGAATGGGGTTGTTGAAGCTGCTAATAAAAACATTAAAAAGATCATTGAAAAAATGGTTGTTAGATATAAGGATTGGCATGAGATGCTCCATTTTGCTTTGCATGGATATCGTACATCCGTTCATACTTCAACATGGGAAACCCTTTTCTCTCTTGTTTATGGCATGGAAGAAGTGCTCCCCGTCGAGGTTGAGATTCCCTCCTTGCGTGTAATAATGGAAACCAAGTTACCAGAGGTTGAATGGGTCCAGAACATGTTTCACAAATTGAATTTGATTAAAGAAAAGAGAATGATTTCCTTATATCATGGTCAATTATACCGGAAAAGAATGAAGAAAGCTTTTGATAAGAAGGTCAGACCTCATAAATTCAGAGAAGGCGACCTCGTGCTCAGAAAGATCGTGTCTTTTAACATTGATTCTAGGGGAAACTGGACTCCTAATTATGAAGGCCCATATGTTGTCAAGAAAGTCTTCCCTGGCGGCGCATTGATTCTTGAAACTATGGATTATACGGAGTTCTTACATTCTGTGAATGCTGGCGCATTCAAGAAATACTTCGCCTAATGAAATAAAAGAACAGCTCGCGAAGTTGAAAATCCGAAAGGGCGGCTTAGGTAAAAATGAGCGTCTCGGTAGGCTGAAAACCCGAAAGAGAGGTCTAGGCAAAAGTTAGAGACATAAACTGAATAAATCATCCCGGTAGATTGAAAACCCGCAAGGGAAATCTAGGCAAAAGTTAGGGATTTCTTGGCAAGTAACTGCATCAGACAAGACTTGATCAATGAATCAACAATCTTCTCGGATTTTCTTTGCTCTTCAACTGAAGCTTAAGCACGGGAATTCAAAGTTGTTAGGGAGAATAATGATTATTCTATTTCAATGTACCATTTCCATGTATTTACCATTTTCCAAACATTGTAATCATTTATGGAGTTCCACCATTTGTAAAATACCATTCTATTAATAAAGTTTGAGCCTTTATCCAATTCTTTGCAATTCTTATTTTTATTCTTCTTGCAAAAATTTCATTTGTTATTGATAGTAATTTTCAAAACCAAAAAAAAGACTTCAATAATAAAATAAGATTTTGAAAATTTTGCAAAAAATATATTTTTTTAGTTTGATTTAGTGAATCAAAGGAATAAAAACAGTTGTTCCAAGGATGAACGAACTCCAAAGTTTGAAATTTTCTCAAAAAGTCTTCTCAGGTTACTCTCACATATGTATGCATGGTCTCCCCTATGATTGTTGGTCAGTTGGATGGTTTCCTCCAGGTTGTTACGTGGCGTTGGGTTTGTAATCCCATATACCCTAGTTAAGTTTTTTTTGGAATTCTCCAACTGAGTGTAGTTCTTTTCCCAGCCGATTTATGATCAAGGAGCGGTATTTTTACCTTTCATGTTATGACATTGTTGCTTTTGAGTGCTCCCCAAGTAGTAGGTCAAAAACAGTATCTTTTCTAAGAGGTGTTGAGACATCTGTTAACTTTTTGGGTTTTATCTCACTATATGTTAAATTTGATTTAAAATTCTCATGATTTTGATTTCTTGCCGTGGTGTTAACTTCTTAGTTTCTCATATAAACCAAGGGTGTCATTTCCCTTTAAGATTGTCATCCCCATGAACTTTCCTGTAGTAATATAAACCAAGGGTGTCATTTTCCTTTAAGATTGTCATCCCCATGAACTTTCCTTTAGTAATCCCTGTGAAGTCTCTTCAATCTTCTCCAGAGAAGCTAATGTAACCCATATTCTTGAGTGTTTATGGTTATATCCCTGAAGCTTTATGGATTACCATTACAGGATTGTGCTTTGTTTATTCCCAAGCAATTTTGTTTCCTTCCCAGAGAAGTCAAGCCTTGAAGTAGGATGTTGTTTCTTCAGTTGGTTACTTATTCTCTTACGAGATTTCCATCTTGGGTGTTGTTCAGTCGAGTGTTGTCTTTATCCAAGTTGTTATTTTGTCTGGTTTTCCCCAGTATAGTATGATTATTTTGTCAGCATATACATGACATATATTCATCAATATTACAATACAATTCCCAAAATCATGAATAGATCATATGCCATTTCAAAATTACTAAGAGAATTGAAATTTGGGGTTATAGAGTGTCACGATGATTAATTCAAAATACACTTCCTAAACCATTACCATTACAAGGATTTTTATGTTACAAAAGATACTACATCAAGTCACATGAAGGACTAAACTAAAATCCTTCCTTTAAACGTCACCATACTTGGATCAAACCTACAGGAATGTGTATTCAGGGCATCACATCTTAAGACAATGCACCTTGGATAAATTATGCAGAAACTTCAAGTCCTTTACTGTTAGCCGTTGTAGCTCAAGTGATACAAACCATCCAAATCAGACATGCACAAGTCAGTACCCACATACAATCACTCAAAACAGTTGGCGAATCGGGCTATTATGAACAAATGCAATGCAAGCTATGATATTTCAAACATACAGTCGTGACAGTGCCAATGCAAAGCTTCATACTGTAAGCCTACTTTGATACCTCCTATAATGTTATGCAAGTGTTTCCTTGTGAATTCAAAAGTATTCCTCTTGCGTAATAGTGACTCAGGGAATTTATTTCGATTAAAAGCACACCTCATAAAACCTGCACAAGACTATAGCACAAAAATCAAAAAATCAGGAAAATACAAAACAGAACTAACAGTAACATTATTTTAATTACTGGCTCATATCAGACCTTTTTTTAAACTTCCGGTTCACCTTAACCATTTTTAACACTCACTAATCCAATCTCAAGACCAACTGAAATTAACAGGGCTCACTAATTTATAACAGGAAAAAATGGAATCAGCTCTAACCTCCTAACTGACTAACTTGCAACAGAAACTATATAACTAACTTCTACTAACTAACAATTTCAATCCTAACTAACAATTTCAATCCTAACTAACAATTTCAATCCTAACAGAACTTCTCAGTTATAACAGAAAACCAACTCTCTATTTGTCATAACCGGTTTTGCTAGCTCAGTTTTTAACAACATAACAAACTTTTGTTGAAGAGATAACGGATTCTCGAGTTAGAAGGAGGATTAGAGACAGAAAATCAAAGAAAGAAAAAGGGGAAAGCAGAAAACTCACAAACTCTCTCTTCACTCTTCACTTCTCAAGAAGTTTTATTCTTGTCACTCTTTCTTTCTTCACCATCAACCTCCCTCATTCTTCTCTCTGCAACTTCACTCCTCACTGCTTCAAATGCTCTGAATTCTTTAAAGCTTCAATGACTCTTCTCTTCTACGCACAACCTTCAACCCTCTCTTTATAACAACAACACATATGTTTTCCGTTCACTTCTGCAAGCCGCTCATCATCGTCTTCAAATTGAAACTCTTCTTCTGCAAATTCTCTGATTACAACAACAAGTTCAGAAGCGCGAAAGAAAATAAGAAATTAACGAAGAAAAGAAGATGAAAAAGTTTTCGAACAAGAAAAACGCATAGAAGTAGAAGAGTATTACCTCTGGTTTTCTGGATTTCAACGTCTCTCAAGAACCGTCGGAGTTGGCTTCTGATAGGTAAATCTTATCTCTTCTACTTCTTTTTCCGCAGATTTTGTTTGCCTAAGTGTTGAGAACCGCGAACAAGGCGAAATCGCAATTACGGCAGAGATACGAAGGTCATGAGTGGCGTGTTCGAAACGATGAAGATAGGAGGACGAAGACGAATCGGAGTAGGAGGTTAGGATTTGAATCGACGACATTGAGACGAAGTTCATAAAGAAGCGCTGAGGCGGATCTTGGCGAAATTTGAACCGGAAGCAGGCGGAGAGGGAGGAGATTACGAGCGGCATCGTTGAGAGGGTGAGAACCGAGAAGAAGCAGTTGTAGTTCGTGGAACTTGAACCGTCACAATCTCTAAACCCTATCTCACTTCCCAAACGCTGCGTTGGAACTCTCTTTCCATCAATTGTTTTTTCTAAGTTTTATATAGTTAAATTTGAATAATAAAGTAATAATAAAACTAATTGAGATAAAAAAAGCTAGGTAGTTTTGATGTTGGAGGTTGGACCGACACTATTTTGTTGGGCCTATTGCACATGACTGATTATCCATATCTAGGAATAAAGCCCATGCGTTCTTCGGGCAACAAGAATAAACTAAAGCCAAGTGTAGCAAAAATAACATCCTTTTGGACTTTTCTGAAATGGGCCTAGCGCGCTACTGTATACCTCTGAAAATAGCTTACCCCCCCCCCCCCCCTATACTCCTATTTTCTTTGTTAAATTTAGGATTTTTTCTTTTAATTTTTCTATGATAGAATTGTAAAGATCAATAAAATTTGTTAGATCTCCTTAGTGGATTTTAGGAATTAATTATATAGTTTTTGATAGAATTTTTCTGAAATAAAAAAACTAATAAAAATACTTCTTTCTTTTAGTTTTTATTCATATTTTCATACCGTTGTGCCTCGTTATTTTTGACGCGTTTGTTCATTGTGCAAGGTACATTTTGGTGCTTTCGATCATGTAACATAACAAGTTGTTATAAGATCGAAGCATATGACTTATGCTCGCTTCTGATGCGACACACCTTATTTCTCATCATCTTGAGAAATTCATATCATATTACATGTTGTCCGGATACATATGATATATTATGATACTTTGTGCAGGAACTTCTGATTACGCGTTGTATTCGTAACTCGCGTTTGCTTTTATCTTAGTTGGATATCGTTTCTGACTTTGTTTACTTCTTGGTGAAGCTTTCTCGACGTGTACTCCCTACTTCTCAATTGCTTTCGTCCACTTTTGACGATTCACTTGCTTTTGGTATTCGTCGCTATTTCTTTTACATTTTCCGCACTTTATCGCATTTCTTTACAACTTTCTAGATATCATGAGAAGTAGGAACTTTACTGCTTTCTGATGCCATGAGAAGTAGGAACTTTACTGCTTTCTGATGCCATGAGAAGTAGGAATAGAGATGTATGACAGGGGTCTCAATTACTGATCATGTCAGGAACCCCTCTGGTTTATTTAAAGACCCGTTTAGGGAAATTCCACATTATTTGCCATTGTGTGCTACTTGTGTGTGGTTTGTTTAAAATCCTACCTTTGTGTAGGTATTTTGCAGGTGTGTTTACATTTATGCTGGCATATGTTACAAATAATAAGTCCTCAAAAGGAGGAGAGCAAAAAAGGGTTAGCAATTAACCCCCGCGATTTCGTCGTGTCATCCTTAGCTCGTGACACACCACGATGCTTCACAGTTGTGCCTACTCTTGTTATCGAGTCGTCAATTGGAAAAAGGGTTTCGCAACCAAACCCCCACGCTTTGTCAGGAGTTCACATTGGCAGATGCTGACACTCTGTGATTGTTCATATTGCATTATATCGCCTATCTCGATCTTTTATATCTTGGTTAGGTGTTCAGTCGCTTTGGACATCACTTTTTTTGTTTTACATCATATTCCCGCTTGTTTGCTTTAGGTGATCCGCTCCCCTTAGATATATCATTTCTCTTCTTCTATATTTCACTTCCGCTTGTTTGTCTCGGGTGATCTTCTCCCCTTGACTAGAGCATTTCTCTTCTTTTCTTTACCATTTCATGTGTGTGCTCTTTCGAGCTTGTTTGCTTACTCGCTTTCTATACCATGTTCTCTTAGGATGTAATTGTTCCTTTCGGTTGCAAGTTAGACCTTAGGTTGCAAACCATGCATACTAACATTAGGTATACGTTTCCCTTTTGTTAATCCAACCCTTAGGACTACCATTGTATGATAACATTAGGATTAGAAATAGGCTAGTCTCCCATAGACTCTTGTCCTTTTGGGTATACCTTTGTTAAACTATCTGATCTTTGATAGATGGTATTCACCTCTTGTGACATATACTTCACATTTAGGTTCCCGTCCTTAACAGGGTTTGCATTACCTTTTCCTCTTTGGGCTTTACCCTAATAGATTGAGCTTTTCTACCTTCACATTTGAGCGGGTAGTTCACTATCATCTATTAGTCGGTGTGTTTCTTTACTTTACCATTGTTTATTAAGAGGATGTAATCCTATCTCCTCCTTGGGCTTTACCCCAATAGAGTTGAATCCTCTTTTCCCCAGCCGAGTCATTGTTTCTCCAATGGAGTGAAATTTCATCCCCCAGACTCAGTATTGAAGTCAATCATTTCTTTTCCAACCGTAGAGTTGATGTTAATCATATTAGTTTTTGGCCCAGTCTCAGTACTGATGTCAATCGTTTCCCTAGTCGATTCGGTAATCCTTTCTTAAGGATTACTTCCATGTTGGCTTATTGCTTGCTTTGTTAAGAATTTCCCCATTGATTTCTTAATTTTCATTTTGATTCTTTAATTGTGATTTTGGTTTTACCTATTCATAGTTATCCCTAGAGTCATGCTGCTCCCCAATGATTTATTTTCCTGGTTGAACTCTCTTTCTTAGTCTATCTTGTGTCGCAGCTTTGCCTGCATTATTTTGTTATCCCCAGTTGTGTCTTATCTCCCATGTGGATTTTGTTATAGCATTCAAAATCATAAGCATTGCATGGTATATTAGGGCCAAAAATAAGGTTTGTTTTTGTATTTAAGTATCTTCAATTGCGTCGAAATGAAGATTTTAACCTTTGTATCTCCGGATAGAAGACACTTAAATAAAGGTAACTGTTATACCCCAAAATTTGCCCCTAAGATACCTCATCACTTCATATCATCGCAATGCATCAAGATCACACATTATGGTTGGTTCTCTCTTCTACTCTCTCCTATCTTTAAGTTTTCTCTTGAGGGATCACCAAGCACCTTGAGTTGTGTATCTTGTATATGTCTATTTTTTGTTTACTAATTCTTAACCAAAATCCAAAAAGATGTATGTATTTCCTTTTATATTTTGTACATTGTAGGTATAAAGTCAAGTGCATCTCCCTCACCTCCTAATTTATGGTTTTGAAGGTTTATCCTCAGCCAAACGGCCACTCATTCAATTCTAAAATCTTGAACTTCAAGGCTATGATTATGGCATCAAGGTTTTATGTCTTTAGAGTTCTCTCAACTTCATTTGGTCAAAATTGTCTCAAAGTTAATGGTTGAACTCATCAAGAAACTTCATAGGTTCATGTGTTTATTTCCATGCTTTCTTCAACAAGTTTCATCAAGAAATGAGCCTCACCATTAATTGTGCTTCAAAGAAACATCATTTTAAGGTTTAATGTGATTCATCATGCCTTAAATTACAAGAAAAGTTCAAAAGATTCAAAGTAGATCCAGTAGTTTGACCTAATTTGGACAAGTCCTTGATTCTATGGTCACAAGTGCATAACTCTCTCAATTTTCAATATTTTGAAGTTGTTATTTTTTCTATGGACTCTTCTCATCATTTACAACAACTTCTTTTAACATGACAAGATCCAATTGTGCAAGGAGAATCATCAAAAAATTGAAAAGATTATAAGTCCTTTGAGGAAACCATGGAAAACTTTGACATGACTTCAAAAGATCATAACTTGGTCAATTTTTATCTCCTTGAGCTCATTCTTTTTTCACAACAAACTTGGAGATGTCTACTACAACTTTGATTCAAAGATCAAGATCTAAAAATGTGTAGAAAGTTATGGAATTCAATGAAATATTATAGGTCATTTATGGATTTCTCAAGAAATTTTCATCACCTTCCAAGAATCATAACTCTCTCATTTTTCATGATGTTTGAGTGATTCTAATTCCATAATTTCATTTGGAGAGTATAATTCATTTCGTCTTCAATTATCAAGAGCTAATTTTAAGTTTAAGGCCATGTAAGTTTGAAGAACATTATAGGTCATTATCAAGCTCTACAGTTAGAAAGTTTTCTAAGTGTCAAAGTCAATTAGTTTTTCATGATTACGAATGGACATAAATTTCAGCTCAAATTTCCAAATTAATAATTTCTTGACACATTGCAAACATTGTGATAATTTCCAATGCAACAAGAATGAGACCATAAAGCTTCTTGAACAAGTTACACCATGGATTTGAAGATGATCCATTAAAAATGTGTTTTCCAACTCAGTCAGATTTCAAATTGGTTAATATGGATTCTAATAATCAAATTGATGTGTGTTTTCCACTTAAACATGTTTAACAAAGTTACTAGAGATGGTTTAAGCCTTGAAACGCATGTTTTGGCTGAGTTTTAAGCAATTACAAGTCACACTTTTCATGATTGCAACTTCACACGAATTCACTCATTCTCGATCTTTCTTGCACGTATGAGCTTACCATTCTTTCTCCTATAAATAGAGGATCATTCCTCATTCAATTCCTCAATCTTGGATAGTAAGAATCACCCTGCCAAAGTCTCATTCGAAGCTTGAAATTTAAAAATCCATTTCAACATTTCAAGCCTTCTTTCTCAAAACTTTGTTATGATTCTTCATTATTGATCATCATACAAACTTTTTTACAACAAAAACCAAGCCATTCGAGCATAAAATCAAGCCATAGAAGTTCAATTTTAGAGGCATTTGAAGTGAACTTCATTCAGATAGATTTCTCAACCAAATTGTCTCAAATAAATTGTTAGGATGTAGTCCCTTCTTCTCTGAAGCTTATGCTTCTTCTAGTTTTAATTTTCATGTTGACTTGAGCTTGAATTTTCAAATTTCGTTTCATACTTTTTCTCTGGTTATTTCCAAAATGACTACGATGTGGTTTATATAAATTTGGCACGACAATATGGTTGAGATCGTCTTGAAGAGACGCATCCAATGATACCACTATGAGCGTCTAAGTTTACATATTTAAGGATCTTGTTCTTTCCCTAATTGCAGACGTATGGAGGTTGAAGATGACCAACGCGTCATCCTCAACCAATGAGACATCGCCAATTGTTTTAATTTTATTCGCTTGACTTTTCTGGCTATGGTGTGTGCACATTGACTGATGTTTACCATGCATCTGTGTCT